GACGCTCAACCAACTGAACCACCCAGGCACCCCTTTGGTGTGAGGTTTTGATCCAAAAAAGCAACAGGTAAGCATTAGATGGCCTGAAAGACTATGTTCTGAGAGTTGCATCTGTAGTAGAGGGCAATGCTCAAAATATGTCTGCATAAACAGAAATACAAACATAAGCATAGACATATAAAATCCTTGAACAAGGATCTCATGAAGTGAATGGCTTGGTGGTTGAGGGTCCTTTTATCTGAGAATGAGAATTTAAGTGTGTCCAAAAGAAAATATATGGGAGCCTTTGGTGGTGTTCCTTGAAAATGTGAGAAATCCTAAGAATTTGGGGGAATTCAGAACCTAGACCTTATGACAGGATAGATGGGAGATTTGAGATTGTCCCCAGCAGTGGGCTTTGGCGAGGAACCATATATATAAGTGGAGTGGGGGAGGAGAAATCTGACTGCAGGGAGCACATGATGAGTGACATCCTAGGGAAATAGGTGTCAGAGAGACAGGCTGGGTTTGTGTTGGGAGTGTCTGTAAGAGATATGCATACCAGTGGTGAACAAGGAGAAAGGTGGTCTTCAGAGAAAGAAACATGCTTCAGCACAGGGAGGGCATCTTTTCCAGCTGAGATTCTTGTGGGTGGAGAGGTCAAAAAACCAGGTGTAACTAACCAAAAATGACAAAAGGAAATGAGGTGGTAAACTCAAAATGAAAATTCACTAATTTTACTTGAGGCAGCAACAACAACCTAAAATTTAAGACTAGTTTGCTATGCTTAGTGAAAAATGACATACTTGAAAACGAATGTTATACTTGGCAAACAACTGCACTTCTTTTCGGTGGTGTAAGGACGTTTTCCCCTCACCATGTCACAAACTCAAACAAATACACAGACCGCAGAACCATCCATTAAAATTCTTTTAAGAACTATTTTAGCCACCATTCTTCTGATTTAAGTAAAGTTAGCTTCAAGTGCAAAGATAATTACACTTTGGCCAGACATTTTGAAAAGCTTACATGTTAGGTAGCTCTAAAATGTCAGGATATCTGGTTGCCTTGATAAAATGAAAATGGGTGAGACAACTAAATTAAAAGGTAAGTGCTATTTTTAAAAAGGGGTTGATATACATAGAATTTTTTATAGAAAAAAAACTTTTATTAAGAAACATCTAATGTAAAATAGTTTACATGAAACTTCCTATAAAAGGGTTTTCATGTCTGTTGTTCCTTCCTAGATGTTAACCTGTGACATGTTTTATCATTCCTTGTTGTGGGTCTCTCTCAAAACATTTGTGTGTGTGTGTGTGCAATTTGCCCATTCTTTCTTTCTTCCTCTCCTTCCAGTTCAGGAGATGATGTGCCTTTCCTCAGGGTCTAAGGACATGCTCTCTATAACTCATCACTTCCAAAATCTTGTTTCCTTAATTACCCCCTCTCTACTTCTATCTTTAACCCTTCCATGTAACCAGCAATGTCTCTGCAGCCTCTGTCAAACAAGCAAATTCGTTCTTTCCATGCCATCCTCTTCAGAAATGGGAACGAGAGAGGTTGTCAGAATCTGAAGCAGCTCCAAGAGCTGACCAGTCTCTCACTTCTGCCTTATGGCCCTCACAGTCTCTCTCACAACACCTGGCTAGTATCTGCATGTCTGATCCTTTCTCCTTTGTCTGACAGAAGCTTTGAAAGTTCCTCCATCAAAATTCTGAAGGAATTGAGTCTATCTGAGTCAGCAAATTCTCTCCGCTTGATCCTCTTCTCTTTTGGACAATCTCACTGAGTTACTCAAGACAAAACCTGGAAGGCACCTTGGACTTCCTTTTATTCTGCAGGAAGTATCCTCTTCAATT